GCACTACTTGCAGTATGGTTTGGTCCTTTGGTAATGAGTTCTGCGGAGTTCGTGTCTCCAATTCTGCGCCTGCAATGGCAAATGCCCCCTTGACCACCATAGCACGAACTCGCTGGCCGATCGTTTTTGGCATGCAGGATGTGCACAAGCGAAGGTGTTGCCATCCTGAGCAATCCAAAGCGTTCCTGGAACGTTGCCAGATTTCACCACCCGAAGGAGTGAAGTAAATGCGCACGCCAACTCATCATGCATCGGACAAATCCATGCTCCAAAATGGAAGACCAATGACCTCAGATCTTGCCATTGCCATGCAGTTCTATATTCAAGTCTTCTCCCTCGCTCTGGGGGCGAAGGAATCTTGTTGTCCATCCACTACATGCTCAGCATGTAGCAGCTGGGCTTTGGGAGATGAATCTCCTGGGTGACCTGCTTCACTGTCACATCCCAGAGGCTGACAATCCTGAAGACCAGGACGCTCTCAACATGTGAGGGCCACAGTGATAGTTTTGGGGAGCAACAGAGTGGAACGGAAGCACAGATGATGGACAGCGGTCGCTCACCATTGGACAATCTAAATTAGTGTTCATCCAAGTATAAGAACGCCATGTGGAACCATTGTCACTGTTTATTAGGTATTCGTTTTGTATCGACAGGGAAAGGAGAAAACGCGTTGTACAACCCTTTTCACGGTGGTTTCTCAAGCAGAGGAAATGGCATCTCGGAGAGGTCGACCTGATTGAGGGCCTTGTGTTGGAGGAAGATTGGAGCTGTCAGGTTTCTGGTGCTCACATGGCTGGTACAACGGGGCTGGTTCCTCCCATGACCATCCCAAGTTTTGTCCCTACAACCATGTCCATTTTGTCCCGTGTTCATTTTTATAACTGTTTGTCCTATTACCTGGAACAGTCAGTAGACAAGTATCACTATTTTTGAATAAGGCCCTTACTATTCGTCATCGTCCACTGCTGTTACTTACTGGTGATAGGATAGACCTAAAATATATGAAACAATATTATCGATCTAATTATGTCGAGCCAAGTTGAGGCTTGAGGATTCAAGGCTTGCCGTGGAGAGACTTCAAGACGCAGGCTACGAGAGGACAGGATATGCCATGAAATAGCCATTGTCATGCGTAGACCAAAAGCACTGTGAAAATCAAAGCTTGGCTCAAGCTGAATGATTGGACGAGAGCCTTTGCAATCGCTCCATTCCAATGAGATGGTTGCTGAAAAGTGTGTCAATGCCACATGTAGGCTTCAGGTGCCACACGGGCCTTGGGCCTTGTCTTGAAAGGCCTTTGTGGTTTCTTGGGTTGCGGTTGGCACGTATTTGGGCAGGACCAAACCCTTGGCAGATGGCGTGTGGATTCAAACACAGCCGAGACCTTGGGTGGTGGAAAAGGAATCAAGAATGCCACGTTAAACAATCAGGAGCGCTTGGTGGATGACGGAAATTGAATTTTTGCCCATGGGGCTCATAGGCCCCTTGTGCATGACTATCCATGACACACCGATTTTTAGGCTTGATTGATTCAAGATGCATGATGTGGTTGTTTCCATGAATGAATGCACCCTGAGGGTATGAAGCCTAAGTCGCCTATATAAGTCTCAAACTCCAACACTCACACTTCACTTGAGAAGTGGGCATTGATTAACCCAAGCTGAGCGAGGACCATTTATGACCCTGGCATCACTTAGCATCCGAATCAAAATGCAAAAGGGACGAGAAGAGCAGCAGGCTGCAGCAGCAGTGAAGGGTCGCTTTACAAACCTGTCCTACAACCGACCTTTAACCGTATCCCGTTCTCCGTTCATGTGACATCCTCGTGTTGAGCATGGCATTTGTCTCTAAATACCAACAATGACACCGGAACAGAAGCAACAAGAAAGCATCTTATACAGAAAGAGAAGGCCGCAGTCAACGACGGAGACTGGTGGCCATGAAACTCGGTGAATTTCCATGGTGCATGGTGAGACGAGCCACGAAAGACTGCAAAGCAATCACCTGTCAGGCCAGCGGACCCGGGATGGTCATAACCAGGATGGTCATCCCGGCTCTCCCCAAGCATAGTTTCACTGGGGAGAAGAAAAATCTCTACATCGAGGGCTCACGCATCGATGGCTTGTACTCGGGGGGGCGCGTTCATGGCCTCCTAGCAATGGCCTCGTTCATCGATTCGGGCCGAGGACGGGGCTTAGTGATGAGATCGGGCCCCTGAAAGAATGGCTCTTCTTCCTGCAGGCCACCCTTCCGGGTGTGGTTTGGACGACATGTTTGAGTGCTGTTGGGAGATTTCGTCCACACGACGTCTTTGCGTGACATAGGGTGCGACTGAAGATACACTTGCAAAGTTATTGACTATACTCGTACCCAGTAGACAGCTGAGAGTGCAGTGTGAGTCGGAGGTTGTAATGATTGTTTGGATCTTAGATAAATAACACGTTCACTTTGGCAGATCAGAACGATGTGCTGCATCTTGATCTTCACACATCATCCTTGACACGATCACAGGTCAACGAAGACCTGCAGACGCTTGACGAACTTAAGGTGGGCAAACATGGAAAGATCTACTGATACTAGTAATGGAGCACGCGGCAAACACTTGCGCTGTGGCTTTCTGGTGACCTTGAGCTGTAGTTCGCGAGGCACGCAAGCAGCTGCAAGCAAAGACTAGTCCCTGGGGACACCATGATCCTCACGCAAATCAGTTTGTTTCGATCAACGAGCGATAAATGATGGTGTTTCAGACATCATTGATCGACGAAGCTGATATATAGTTTAAACCTGTTTCCTCGAGATCATCAGTACATAGGACGCTACTAGTAACAAAGGGCATCGTTACGAACGGAGCAAAGGACACTACGAACGGGGTGCTCCTGGCCTTACTACTAGGAACAGAGGATGCTGCTAGTAACTTGTAACAAATTTCAGATCAGCCTTGAGAAGTCCATCGACCGTCAAAGCTGGGGCTGACCATTTTGGTGAAGAATTTCATGTTATAGTCACGTGCTTTATAGTGTTGTGCTGACTCTCGGATAGTTTCAATGCATGGCGCAAGTTGACTTTGTCGACACGTTCACTGATGCCCATAGCGTAAGCGGACATCCGTGATCATCAGGGCGGCAAAGATGACTATTGGTTGATTGAAAATAAGTAGGGTCCAGCGAGTTGTGGTCCATTCTTGGATGTTGTGCGTGGAGTCATAGTGCTCGGACAGAGATTGATCTGGGTTCTGACTTTGAGGTACTGTACGTATGCAGAAGAAGTTCTATTATATATGAGTCTTATTTGACAAGTCGCTTGCGAAATGTTTACTGAAATATCTTCTCATTTTCATTCGGGATGACATCTTGATCAAACGGCCCAGCACAAAAACACACGAGGGTTCTGAAGCTCGTGTTTCAAGCCAGGCCAGGCTGGAGGGCAAATGGCCAGACTTGAAGGGAGAGATTCCCGCAACTTGCCTTTGATTCTGAACCATCGGTCCCAGTAAAAACCATTTATGATTAGCTGTGTTGTTTGGTGTTCTTTTACTGGGGTCTTGAGTCAAGTGCTGCGCTTGTGTGATGTAGCGTAAAGCAAAACAGTATGAGTCAGTAAGTGCCCTGCAAACTAGCCATTTAGATCGTTGATGCTTGCACGCAGCTATCGTGACTCGTGACATGACCTTTGGTCTTGACACTGGCGCTTCTGTGCATTCACTGTTTCCTCATTAAAGCAAGTCTATTGACAATATTTGCTCCATGGCATCTTGCCGCCCTCTTCAGTTTGTGTGAATGCTGAATCTGGCCTCAGTCATTGCAGACCAACCTTGTGCAAATATACAACTGGATATTCTTGAATGAATCGCAAAAATTCATCCTGTATACACCTCAAGCAGCTATATAATTATTTTGTGTGTATTGAATGACACAGCATCGGAGAAGTCTACACTTAGTGGTATGTTGTGCTGCTAAACGTTAGAACACATGCAGTACAATACCCACAAGACTGCACAGACAGTGCGGATTGGTCAGACAGCTGACATCAGCTGGCCCCTTCTTGGAGAAAAGATGGGCAATTCACGGAAACATATTGCAACCGGGTTGTCCAGTTTCCCTTGCCAACAAGTTTTTGAAGGCTCACATTGATGCCTCATGTTTTCACCAGCCCCGAACACATGCTGACCGACCTGTGAGGTAGTTTCCTGGCCACCTTCCAGGTCGCGGTGGGAAAGAATTTTGGTAAAGCTTTAGAATGCAAAAAAAAAAGATTTCATCGTTTTGTGGCAGAGTTTGAGGAACATATTCTAATTGTTCGATGTTGGCAATGTTGGCCTAAGCTCCCACCATTTCTGAGGCATGTGCTTCAAGTGGTTGATTGTCACGACAGGTTCAAGCTTTGACAGTTAGTCTTGTTACTGGAGGTCGTTCTTCGAGTTGATTTGCCCGCTTTGGTTGTGTTTGCTAGGAACATTGCTGGGCTTGGTTGGCATGTCGGATTGGACAAGATGTTGGTTAGATGGAAGACAGACACGGATATTCTAGCATTTACTCTCTCAAGCATCAAGAGCTTGCCCTTGGGTTTCCATCAATAAGTCATATTGAGTCTTTTTGGCCCAGGAGCCGTTGCAGATCCTGGTTTGTAGGGATTCCATCAGCAACGGAGGTACATATGTCACGCTTGTTTTTGGAGTGACAACCCAATTGGAATTGATGTATAGGTAAAGTTCAACCTTGGGCAGTCAGTGTTCGGTACTTTGACAAATGCCAACAGTGCGTGTGTCTGTGTGTGTGTTTGACTTTGCAGCTTCATATGCAATGTAAGGACAATTCAGTTTGAGTATGGTTTATCAACATCGGCAGCGTAAATGTTAAAGCCACACATGAAACGGATCCGCCCGCTTCACCTGAGCGGTCGGTCACAACGTTGCTGATACACCCTTTCAAAGCAACCTACAACTCATGAGTTTAGAAAAGGCGCAGACATACAAACGCAACTGTGGGCGAGACAGAGAGCGCATCACTTCCTTCATGAGAATCGAAGGCATGACCGTGCGATGCATGGTCAAAGGGGCGTGAGGTTGTGCAATGGATGCATCCAAATTGTTCAGGGATGCTACTCAACATGCAGAGGCCCTTGGGCCTGACCGCACCTGGCTTCGAAACTTTGCAAGAATCACAAGTGAAACACTTTGGCAAACCATTGTTTCTACCTTGATAACTGATGCGTACTGCATGTCAGGGCCAACGAAAAGTGTAAGTCGATTGTGTCCGAAATGATGCGATGTTAATTTTGTTTCTTGAACAAAGGTTGGCCAAGTTGGGGAATATCACTGCAGAGTGAGGAGAAAGACACCTAGTTGCGATGCACAGGCTGGACACTTCGGGAGGGCCAAAGCCTGAGCAAATGTCGGACATGGAATGAAATGGAGTCCATTTCGTCCGTGTTCAACAATTTGAAATAGGCATGTTGGTATTCTTCTTGGGCGATTCTGATGTAAATGTGTGGGTTTCGCCCGAAAGGGTCATTCAAGAACTGGCAGTCCATGTGTTTCTGATAATATTCACCTGTCATGTGAGGACTTTTAGATTCGATGTCATTCATGTTTTTTTTTCCCTCCTCACTTCTCTTCCTTTTCTTGCCTGCCTCATCTTCCCTCTTTTGCCATGGCTCGGCACTCATCTAACACTTCAGCCGGCCAACAAGACGCCTCGACCGATCCAGCATGCCGCAGCGGAGAGCTGCGAAATGTCGGAGAGCGTGGTGCAGCGGCCGATGTGGTGCCTTCGGGTGGGGAGTCAGATATATTGGGCCAGAAATATCACATGCCGGAACATATTGTCAGAAGATTTGCTAGATAAGATGTCAGATAGTTGCTCAACAGCAAGTATGTCTGTCAGCACATTGTCATTTCAGAGGTTATTTCTCAAATGTCAGTGCACATGTTACAACGCATGCATCTTCAATGCAAGAGGGTACAAATGCCAGATGAAATGCTAGCATATGAAGGCCAGGTCATAAGTTTCAGCATCGTTTTTGTCAATACCTTTGGTCCACACGCCTCTCCCATCGCCTCTCAGGGTGGGGATCTCTCGGTTCGCGTGAACCAGTTCGATGCTCTCAGGCTGCAGAGCTGTTTGCGAAGGCTTCCGAGCAGGAGGGGTGAGACTGATGAGCTGAGATGAGTGAGACTTGCCCTATCATCCCTTGTGACAACTGGAGTATGTTCAACTGGCTAGTTGAATCTATTTGAGTGATTCGTGATTCGTTCTTTTCTGTTGCTCTCCCTTAGGCAACTTGCCATATCAATTAATCTACCCGCCTCCCAATATTGTTCCAGACTTGTGTTTCCTCTACTAGCGCAATCTAGCGCAAATACCTCCCAGAAGGACCACCGGAACGTATCTGAGTAGCTTGATGCTTTTCAGGAGGCTTCCCCTCCAACTGAGAAAACATCTTGAAGATTAAACCGAAACGCTCTAGGCAAAACATCTTAGGCCAAAAGTTGCTGCAGGATCCACGCAATGCGAGGCCGCACGAAGCGTAGGGGCCCTGAGAGGCTCATTTCCGGCAAACCGCTGGGGTGTAGAACTTGCAGTAGACGTCCAGCCAAGACAGACGAAATGTTTGATGCAGAGTTTCCTGTTGACCATTGTGATGTTGGGCAGAACCAACACAGAATGAAGCATCCATGGGATCAAGAAAAACACTATATATAAAATTACAATATATTGGGAGAAGATATGGAAGGGCCTCTTGTGCCTGAGAGGTATTTTGCAAATCTAACAAGTCCCTGTGTTGTTTCTCCTCTCAAGGCGAGCCCAATGTTTGCTAGAGCTGGAAGCCTTCGAGGAGGCCCTTTCAGTTGATGTTGTCAACGGACTTTTGGAGAAGGCAGATGAAGGCGGTGCATGTGGAAGATGTATGAAGATGTGCGGCACGTGCCCTGCGAAGGGGAAGCCACCGACTGGTAGGCACTGAGTGCAGCGGAATTGGCTGCCCAGCTGGATCGTCATTGGTTGCCTGCGCAAGCCACGTGGCGCTGTGCAACGTTTGGCTCGCGGCTCGTGGTGCGAAGAAAAGGCAGAAGAATGGCCCCTTGAAGAAGGTTCCTTCAATATGGCACCCCTTTAAACGTGACCATGTTTCTCTTTCTTCCATAAATGTGACAATCCCTAGAGCACAGTCTTGAACGGGAAGCTTTGGACCGCCTTTTTTCTCGGGCGGAACGACTCTGGCGCTTTTGTGCGGCTAGTTTCTCATGGCTCAGCGGCCTATATACATATTATATATACATATATAATTGTCGTATCTACAATGTTTTGTCTTGATCAGGTGTATCCTGCCTGGGTCAAATTGTTGAGCTGTTCCGTTTTGGATCTTGTACTTTGATGTATTTTGATAGCGTTAAATTGCAGTGCTGTTTAGAGGACGAGGATGATGTGGGATCTCAGGAATCTTGCCCACTTTCTGTTTGTTTGAACATTGAGTGAAACAACTTGTTGCAACAACTGATTGTGTTGCAAGGTGCTCTTTTACATGGTATGATATCATGATATCGTATGATTGATGTTTGATTCGCACTGCGCAACGTTTCATGCAAAGAACACCTGGGTGCCTTGGAACGGCGATGTTTTCAAGTGCGCAAGCTGAGAGCAAGCCCACAGGATGCAGCAATGTGTGTCGCCAGGTTGGGCCGCGCTCAGCTCAACGCCGGGCATTTGCAGGCGAGGGACTGTGAATCTCTTTGAGGTGGGATGTAGAATCTAGGGATTCACTTCGAGTTCTTCACCCGGAGTTCTTAGCACTGCGACCGAGTTCTTAGCAGTGCGAACTCGCATCACATCGTCACGGTGTTTCGAACGGTGACCGGCTTCAGCATCCGGTGTTTCGACGATCAGGACGCGGTCGCCAGCTTCTCGGAGGCTTTGCATCTGGCTGAGCAAGACAAGGTCCGGATCTCGCGATCTACACAGGTGGAGGGAAGGATTACGATCAAACTTGGGCCGCCTGGAAACATGTGTCCTCGACTTTGGTGTTGTTTTGTCTGGGAAGAGGTTGTTAGCATTAGCAATAAACGACCTTTGCGCAGATCGACCTCAGGAAGGGCTCGGATTCTATCCTGAGGGCTCGCCCAAATGAAGGAAGTCGACGGACGGGGGTCGCACTACCTCTCCATATATCGGGGGTCTTGTTAATCAAGAATCATCAAGAGCTACATGATTTACTAGCTTTCCATTCTTGCCCTAGGAGTGGCAGAGTGACTTGAAGCTGGAGCTGCGCGAAGCAAAGGCCTTGCTGGAGAAGCATTGGGCGGAGCACCATGTGCCTTAGCCGTAGCCAACTCATGATTCTCATGTGCTTTCCTTTGAACATGCGGTTTCTTGATGTTGTCTTCCAGCAAGTTGCTGTCAGAGTGGATCCTCTACTGATGCAGTTGAAGTTTTCGATAGCAGTTTATATCAGTTTATGATTTCTTACAGTTTGTTGTTTTCTTTTTTCCGTAAGCTTCGTGTGTGCTTCTTATGATAGGGTTCTTCTATGTAGACCTTGATGTATAGACCTTCGTGTTCCTCCATCGCGTCGGTGTATGTGACCTGTGTGGGTGATTTGACCCACCCAACCTGCCGAAAGCATGCTTAGTGAGTGACCTCTATATAATAACTTTTTGTAGGCGAGGTTGATTGTACAGATGTTTCTGATCGTTTCTGCCCGAGGATGTGCTTTTGCCAGTGGGTATGACCCACTTGCGAATCCGCCAGGCCCAACTTTCGGGCTGGACTCATCTTCTCAGACTCGCCTCCCCACTTTGTAGATGACCAAGCATTTGGTTCTGGAACTGAGCAGTCAGAAACTGTAATTTAATTGGCCAAATTGGAAAAGTACCAGGCCCTTGAAAGGTTCAATTGTATTCAATGATGGTCTACCCTTATCCTTCTGACCTCCCTGTTGGCGTTTCTTTTTACAAAAGGGTTCTACCGTATGTCATGCATCGGACCCAGGTAAGATCAAGTAGTTGTTTTTGCGAGTTCTATCAACCCCAAACTGTGAGAAAAAATGGCTTGTTTGGAGAGTTCGCTTCTTAAAACCGGAGGAATGCTTCAGATCGGTCCAACGGCCCGATCGGTCGAGCCGGTTCGAGCCCAGACGGATCCGGAGGATTCGCGTCGCGTTTGGGCGGATGACCACAGGCGTTGGACTGCCGCTATTGCCACATGGCTGGCGAATTGGGACCCGGCGGAGCGCGACTGGCTCAGACAGGCTCAGAGGGGAAGTGCGAAGAATTTCCGGCAAAATGGTGGAAAAAAGTGCGTAATTTAGAATCATCAGAGCTGCTGGAAGGGGGGTTGGAACTCGCGCAAAGTCAGCATGTAATTTGACATCAGCAAATGCAAACCAGGATTTGATTCTGAAAGGATGTTCTGCATTTTGTTTGGCTTGAGATCATCGTAAGCATGCATAATCTTGCAACTCTTCGGCTGAGGCTTTGGGCTGCTGGAGCAGTTTTGGCATTACATCCAGCTGCAAAGGACCTGCCAGACTGACATGGGTTTAAACTCTAGCTGATCACATTGGGGAAACAGGATAGTCCTTGAGTCACAAGGTCACAAGAAGAAAAAGGTGTAGTTTGCTTGATGAATGGACTCGTACTCGGTTGTTTTCCTTGAATAGCATGTTCCTGTTCCTGTTTGGCATCAATGCCAGTGACGACAAACTGCTTCTTTGTGCAGTTTTATGTTGCATGGTTGGTGGTTTGCCGTGCATCAGGCTTCACCAACCTGTTGAATTATGTGTTTTTGTTGTTTACTGCTTAAAATCAATTGCAATTGAGGATGTAAATTCCGGCTACTGGATAGTCAGGCAGACTCACAGACATGAGTGTGCACGGACTGCACAGGAATTCCCGGCAGATGACGTGAGCAAATGTGGAAGGTTCCTCTAAAACGGGAAGGAAGTTGGCCCACTGTGTGCATTTGGACCGTGGTGACTGGTGTAGCTTGATTGTTTCTCTTCCAACAAGACAGGTCGGAATCACAAGAAGCATTTTGTATACTATCACAATGAAATGATTAATTTATCGTTGTCTTTTGGGTACGTTGAAGATCTATGTAATCTAAATCAGCAGCTCGCCAACCCGCTGAAATGGAAGTTTTCCCTTAGTTCTTATTGGGAATGGATGTTTCGCATGAGCTTTATGAGCTTTAGCTTTGCACCAGCAAGGCCAATGTAAACCACCCTGTGCCCCGAGTGTCCGAAGGGCCCTGAGAACGGCCCTGAGTGGTTTGATTTTTCGAAGGACATTCCGGTTTGCGGCTGGTGCAAACATGAATCAGCGGTTTACGCTGTCGCTCAGATGATCTCATGAGAGTTCTCTTGGAGCCTCATGAATGACTGGCTCCGCAAAGAGTTCACTTTCTCTCGCCAGACGCATCTTGGAGCTGGGCTCGGGTACTGGAGCCGCTGGCCTGGCCTTTGCGGCGAGTGGAGCTCAGGCGCAGATGCACAGATCCCTCGGATGGACAGTTTGGTGGGAGAGTCCATTGGTGTCATCAGAGTCCAATCTTCGGATTAAGAATCAAAGGCATAAATCCATTGTGCCAAAGATGGCCAAAGCCTCAAGGCATCAGAGTCAATTGATGCCAAAGATGCAACCACTTTCAATTCCTTAAGGCTTTGGCCATTTTGGCACATATGATTTGAAGAACATCGGGTCAACGGTGAACATGACAGCTCCGTATACAACCATGATCAACCATGTTTGTGTGCTCCGGGAGTGTCAAGTTGTGATGCTTGGGACTCGAGACCTGGTTCCGCTTTGTTTGTGCTTGTCATATTCAAGGGATTTCAAGGGTAATTAACTAGCTTGGAGGCCATCGCTAGTAGGTTGGAGGCCATTGCTAGTAGGTTAGTATGATGCGGATCGCCCTTTTTTTTGGGGGGGGAGTTGGGTGAAGCAGCGTTAGGGCACCTGTGACGTTAACGATAGTCGAGTATCAAGGGTGCTATGGAGAATGTCCTTGTCATAAGTAGCATCATCGGGGTCCTGACTGCTGTCAAACAATATTATAATCTGGATTCGATATGTTTTATCGTTGGGTTTGACTGGTGAGGTACTTCTCACAGACCGAGATTCCTTGCTGCCTTTGCTGCGGTGCCATAGACGCAGTGCTAGAAAGACCGCCAGGTGGTATGAACGCAGGTAGCTGCTTACTTGTTGCTCCTTCGCTCGGAAAGTTTCAAGGAGAATCATAGGGGGCTATCCTCTTCAAAACAGGTGAACTATAGAGTTGTGGTGGGGTTGATGATCCTGAGTGCTGAGTTCTTGTGTGGTGCAAGGTCATTTGATCATGTGTGACGTGATGGCTTCCAACGTGGTCATGTTTTTGTGTGATGTGGTTGCAGCTGTTTGTAGTTTGTTGATGTGTGGAAGTGTAGAGTAGTGTGATGAATGAGGTGAATGAATGAGTCAAGGGATCAGTGAAGGAGTGAGTAACTCGCAGCGCGTTGCATTTCACGCATGGAGTGAGAAGTCTCAGAGCATGACAACCTGGACTATCAAAGCCACTCAGTTCTCAACTGCCGGTACTGTGCCATTCACAAAAAAGGGCAATGCAATATGGGGAGAGCTGGAATGTGCTGGAACGAGCAATAGGAAGCTGTAAGTGAAGCACGGGGCACGAATTGAACTCCAATGCAAAGGGACATGTTCAGCATGTCAAGAGAATTCTCGGATGCGACTAGGTTTCTGTCCTTGAGGCCTGTATGAGTTCAAAACTAGCAATACGTGTTTGCAGGACAGAGAAAGGCATCGACATCGACGAAAACATCTCCTCCGCATCTCTTCGTCCATGTGGTCCCATGCGAGCCACGAACTTTAGTAAAGAGGGGTATGTTTGTGCAGCTTCGACCCTATAAAACGATTAGGTCCACCTCAAAATGGATAATCTCAGCACTGTATATGATATATGATCATCAGTATGGGGCGGACTCACAAGACTGTAAAAGGATAAGGTCCAACTCAGAACCGATAATGCCCTTTTTTTAGTTGAAGAAGAACAATACGTTGGACCATGGCTCATGTGTTTCGATGATCTCGAAAGAAAGTGCCAATGCTTCCCAAAATTTCCCAAATAATGCTGTTGTGCCAGAACGAATGACTGTGGGCAGACGCGGCGGCGGTGTCCTAGACTCTATAGACCAGACATTGGCAGCAAGCAAAATATCATTGTGATCATTGTAATCAAAATAGACAACTGCGAACACATCATCATAGAATGCCATGACGTAGCCATAAAGATGCGCTTGCGTCATAAAGATGCTTCTCAGACTGAAGCTCCGCAACAAAAGTAACAATCTGTAATTCAAGGACGCTACACCGATGTATATATATAACTTATATAACAAACAACACCCTAAATTTAGTGTGAAGGGTACACTAATATCCACAGAACCAGTGTCTATCAAACGAACATTGACATCCGCAATGCTACAGAAGCACTCTCGCCATCCCAAGTTTCGGGGAAAATCCACCATGGAGAGTGTAAGACTCGCACACTTCGACATTGGTTTTCAGTTAACTGAATTGCCAGGAAAAAGTGGTGATGGAACGGCACGGTGAAAGATCCAATGAGTTGAAGGTGTTTCAACAAATTGTTTACTCGCAACTGCAGTGACAAGCAATGAAACGCGCGGCTGCTGAAAGTGGTTGAGAGAAAGGTTTGGGGGTGGGTAGCATGAAGGACCATGAAGCAAACCGATCAATTAGACAGCGTGATCAACAGTTGCGTCGCAGGTACAGGAAACTGGCCAAGTCTCCCTTCCCACTCTTATCCACAGCTTCGTTGCGTGTGATAGGATAAGAGTGTCACACGCCCCTGCGATATCACGTGATTGCACAAAAGAAAACCTTCGAAACAGGACTTGACACACACACGGTGCCGCTTGGCGGCGCTCGTGTGAGACCTGAATAGATACCTAAAAAGCCTTAGAAGCGAAAGAAAGAAAGACAGAAAGAGCAGCGCTAAGAGGGCAAGAGAGAAAGATAGGTGTAGAAAAAAGGAAAAGTGAATACTTAGCCCTTGACTGGGGAAACGAGCTTCAAGAGCCACCTAAAAAGCCTGAGAGAAAGCCCAACAAACGACGGAAAGCGCAAGAAAGAAAAGGGGGGGCAGGGAGGGGGTGTCTGTCCATGTGTGTGTACGTGTGTGTGTTTGAATACCTAGCACTCTAGGATCACTGACTACTTAGCCGAGACTAATTACAGTGCAAAAGTTAGGGAGCGGGACTTTAGTCTTAAACCGCCCGGGTAGAGTAGACTAGAAAAGGGACAACAGAGGGAAAGGCACCGACACACAAGTGTGTCGAGTACCATTTCCCTATGTTACCCTAATTAGGTAGGGAGTAGAACGCGGCGGGGGGGTCGGGAGACCTGCCAAGGGGGGGGGG